CCGGGTACTCTGTACCACCGGTACTTAAAAAAACCTGGTACCGTAACATTTTCATTTTTTTAGTACCGACTTGGTACCGAAGTACCGGGTCTTTTGACAACACTACTATCAAGCATTCAATACGTGTATAAAGCAGTGTGCCTGTAAATGCACAATTTTGTGGTCTTTTCATATGATTTATTTTCTAGCTGCAGTTACAAATGACAATAGCAAATTATGAGAGTGTTGAATTTATTTTAAACAATTGATTTGTTGATCTGTTTCAGTGAGCCATTGCAAACAATCTCAGAAAGTCTAATATATAAAAAACATTAATCAAGGATTTTTCGAAACGGAGCGTATCGATGTAATGTTTAATTTGCATTAAAATGTGTTTAAGTCTTAGATTTCAGTTCCGATTTCATAACATTTTGTCATTCACCTCGGAACTTAGTCCTCATGATGTCTAATATAATTTTAAACAAGGCTGACTTAAACTGTGTTGGAAATGCAGGTGGCTTTAAACATCCTTGTGTAGAGTCTTTTGTCCTTTGCAGAATGACTTTGATCCAAGTTTTGTTGGAGCCGAAACAAGACGGTTTAATGATCCCATAGTGCTTGTGGTTATGCTCTTTACAGGAGGTGGTCTCTATGCTAAAATACATTCTCCTATGTGCAGAGACAACTATATGCAAGCCATCCATAGGCTGACATTCAGAAGAGTGTAAACACTGTGGTGCTGTATTTGTTTCTGAAGGATCCATAATGGCAGAACGATGTCATCTGCAGGGCAGCGGTTAAAAGATTCTTAATAAAATGCACTACGAGGCCTACGGTGGATGTATACGTGTTTGACCACAGCCAGTGCGATCCATTGACCTGCTTCTAGGACACTTCACACAAAAGAAGAAGAGTAGGGAGATCCATTTATGGCCCTGATGTGTCATATTTCCCCCACCCCTCCATGTTCAGACAGACACTGATGGATCCAGATCCTAAAGTAGGTCAGGTGAGGTGACGCGTTAATCTCGCTGGTCCAATTTGATTTTATTTTTCACCCTTCGGAGAGTAGGTTGCATCACAAGCAGTTTAGGCCAGCATCTGTCTTAATTGCTTGTGACAGCAATCACTAGCGTGTGGCATCTAATAAGCAACGGTCATTGTTCCTGCTGGATTGATTGGGCTGCTTTGCCTTTGAACTCGACCTGATTGTTAGATGCTAATGGAGGGATGTGAGCCATATGCTGATTTTTCCAAAAGCGTCTGGTTGAAATGGTGTTGACATAATTGCCTTGAAAAGAGGAAGAAAATGGTACTATTGTCATGATGTGTGGTGGTGGTAGTAGCACGTCTGCTTCAGAGCTGCTCTATTACGTGCTGTGACATTACTTTGCTTTACAACTAGCGAAGTGTTTTACATTTTAGAAGACTAGTTGATTGCGTAGTTGCCATTTTTGACAATACAAAGGCTGTGAAGAACAGAAAAATATTATTTAAAAAATGTAATTATTATGTCGTTGTGTACCCAGGTGTGTACCCATTGATATACAGTACAGCTACATACCATTTTGTATAATTAATTTGTAAATATAATTTCTATATTAGTATTTTTAATATTTGTTGTTAACATTATTATTGATGATGATAATAATAATAATAATAATAATAATAATGGTTATATTTAATAAAGGCGTAATATTTTAGCAAATTGGTTAAATATATGCATATGCTAAATTTGATATTGGGATGGTGAAATAAATAAATATAAATACATTTAAATGTATACATCAACCGCTGACACAAAAAAAACAAAAACATTGCTCCATTTGTTTGACCAGCCTGACACCACAGCATTGGCCTCTTGGTATCCCCCCCCCACACACACACACACACACTTAAATATGCTGTGGCTTTGTGCAGTTTAGGTGTTATAATTTACATTACGCTTAGAAAAGTCAGACAAAGCTGTTTATCTCTTCGTAATATTGCTTGGAAAGCAGGTCAAACATAATCCCCACAATTCATGGTACTCTTGAGGCAGATTTTTAATGCTTAGGCTTTTGGGATATTTTCTTTTGTGCTTAGTTGGTGGAAGAGGAGCACTGACTGTGAAGAGTGTCTTGAGGAATTTGTCCAACGGTCAGTGTTACACAAGAACACAAGCTCTCCAAGCTTCTCATTGTTCTCTGAGGCCCTCAGA